ATAATCGGACAGTAGTATAGCAGTTGGTTGTCGGGTGGGTGTAAAAAGATTTTACAAATGCACTTCATTTGACACACAGATTTACACTCGAACCAAACCATTTTTCTGTTTTTTGCCCCTTTTCGTTTATTTCTGTCCATGATTGGATAGAAGAAAAACGAACTACAATTACTCAAGATTTTTTGTTTACTTCATTGAAAAATAAAATCGTTTTTGTAGGATGGAAACTTTTTGAGGTCAAAACCCCCCACCCCCAAACTAAAGGAAATACTAGTAAGTTTTTTATCAGACATCGATCTTTTGACGTCGTCCCTTATTGTCAATGCCATCTTTAATTGCAACTATGAAGTCCAAGTGCACGACTCTGGTGGTTGTCATCAAATGTGTTTATGATTTGGCAAAAATAGTTTGTAGAAATGATTACCTGCTTAATTTGTTATTGAAATTACAAGCGTTTTCAACATTCAGTTTGAAGCCATTTGTCAGCTGATAGTATGACACGGACAATATCGAAAATTTTTTAAAAAAATATTTCGATATTCTGCTGTTAGCTCTTGCTTATCCAATGTAGAGTACATTGGATACACAAGAGCCAGGTAGGCAGAAACGTGTTCAGTTTCAAAATTGTATGTATTGCATTTGGGTGCAAATATAGTTGGTGTATATACCGTATATGGTAGCATTGTGCTGCAATCTAGCATGTTTGAGGGAATTACTGTGGAAAGTGATTTTGCGGGAAAGGCTATACAATTTTGTTCTGTAATTAAAATTGTAATGGTATAATTGTTCATTGAAAATCTTGTGCGTTGACCTTTTTTTAGTACTTTTATCTTGAACTATGGATTTCAGTGAATCTAGTTGCATAAATGCTTTATAAACTAGCCTGATTGTGGCGCAAATATAAAATGTAGAGTATGCCTGTACAAATGAAACTAAACTATAAAAGGAACCAAGCATGTGGGTGTTACCGGTACATTGAACCTGTTGGTGCAGTGGTACCAATCCACTTCATAGGAATACCTTGGAGGCACTCATTATCTAAAATAAGGTATAACCATGTACAGAGAACAATTCAAGGGTGTGCGAGTGATATCTTAACCATAACATCGCTTGTGATGGCTTTCTGCATTCGTATTTACGTCTAGTCTTATTTGTAATATTTGATCTGGCTTGTTGAAGTCGCATTATCCACCGGTGATAAAACTGGACTGTAATGTGTGAACCAAGCAATCGACTGGATTAGTAGTACCGTAGTAGTTTGTGGTTTCAGTAACCTTGCACAGAGTTGTGAGGGTTCTTTGGTTTGCTCATAATCGCCGGTAGATCTCTCTGAACCCTTGCTATTGTTTCAGTACTAAATGCTGTTTGCCATGGATTGCCTCAACTGCTATATATGTACAATGGACGTTAGGTACCTAAACATATTTTGCAAAGCATTCTTCTGGAAAGAAAGATTGAAATTAGTAATAGGATTAAGTGTGGCAGTGTGAAAAATTGAGAACTGTCTTTCCACATGCAAGAGTCTCTTCAAAATGTTTTAAAAGTAGTAGATTAAAGCAGTATTTCAAATCTATGTTTGGGAATTAACTCTAAACAGTTCCATGATGGTAAGACCGAGTCTGCTATCAATGTAGTTACACATCGTAAATGGCGCCCTCACTCTGTATTCATTATACAATGTACGTTTAAAACTGACCGTGACGCTAGTTTCGGGGGGGGGGGGGTGTCTAACATTAAGAACTGGAATTGCGAAACGTCCCGAACCAATTTTACTGGTGAACATGATAAAAAAACGATAATACAGATCATGGACCCTAAAAACTAACTGAAAATGTAACTTTCCTTGAAGAAATAGACAAAAGTCTGAACATGGTTGTATAGACAGGTATAAACCCCTATGGTCTGAACATTCAGTGCAGTGCCATTGTTTCCACTGGACGATTTATTTGGCATGCATTTAAGGTCAACATGTATTTACAATCACGGTGGGGTGACTTCCAAAAAAAAGAATGCCCGAGGCAAGATTAGTGATACTAGTAAAGAAACCATGGCCTAATATGACGAATCTGAATTTGATTAGCATTTAATTTTGTGCATCAATGCGATTTTAATGTAATACATACAGACGCGTGGCCGCCTGTTGAGGTTGCAAAGCTACTATCAATTGTTAGTCCTTCACCATGAGACCTGGTACACCTATACCATAGGTCAATTCGGTATGTCTAGCTTGAAGTTTAAATTTAACGATGTTACATTTTGTTTTTTAAAAAGGAACCCGGCCGTTATTAAAATGAAAAATACGCAGTATTTATTAGACCCGACCGACTTAATTTTATGGATGACATCCGCGAGCGCATTAGTTTTCGCCTGTTCTCAAAAAAAAAAAAAAATCTCCGACGATGAGTCTCCACAGATCGGTTGTCTGCCCGGAATATGCCGACTCATATTGTCCCAAAGCGTGGCTTGTTGTAAAACTCGTTTTGAACTACCTCAAAACGTGCCAATTTTGTCGTAAATGATTTCAACATGGCGACCACGCCACCAAAATACGTGAGCATAAAAGTTCAGAAGAAAAACGGAGGGATTGTTGTAGACTGGTACGCAATTGACGTTGGCCACGGAGATGTGACGTTTACACAGCTATATGAGAGGTCGGTAGCGGCAAGCGAGTTTCGCCAAGACAACTTTAAGGACATATAGTCCAGAGTGGCTGTCCCGCGTTTCTTCTGCAACGATGAGAGACATTGGAGAGGAGTGGAGGTGTATGGTGGCCTTAAAGTTGGTCAGGCGACAAGTCAGTTCGGTTGCTTTGTTCGCATTAAAGTCGACAAAACTGCAACAAAAGCAGAGGAAGCTCCTCGGCCGAAGTCCGCGTTCGAGGTGAAGAAAATTTTCCTCTTATTTTTTTTTTCATTTTCTGATTCGGATAATTTGCTTGAACACACAGTGCAATGTTTTGTTAGTTATTGTCATAAAGTAGTGTATGTACATTCCGCCTTGACTTGTACTGAAAATGGTGTTCATGCTGTACCTTGAATGCAGTGTTTCTGACTGAAGGTACATCATGATTACATCATGACTACATTTGACTAAATTTTCCTCTTATTTTTTTTTTCATTTTCTGATTCGGATAATTTGCTTGAACACACAGTGCAATGTTTTGTTAGTTATTGTCATAAAGTAGTGATATTTACATTCCGCCTTGACTTGTACTGAAAATGGTGTTCATGCTGTACCTTGGATGCAGTGTTTCTGACTGAAGGTACTTCATCATGACTACATGTACTAGAGCTTGTCTGAAATGGTTATACCTGTGACAATAATACAGTACGAGATGTGTACATCAACATGTGCCTCCTACAAATAGACTTCTTGTTGTTTTTTTGATACACTCTGTTCTGTGGTTCAATTCGTAATACCAGTTCGTAGTCCCGTGGTTTTAGCAGGATTTTTTTTTTCGCCTTCTCGCATTAGTTTTGGGGTCTCCAGAGGATGACATCCATAAAATTAAATCAGTGTGGCTTTACAGAACCAAAAACCTTCAGCAGTTGCTGCTGCTTGCAGTAAAAATTGTGCATTCAGTAATTGCCATGGTTCGGCCACTTACCTGACTGATATTGTCGATCAAACCACGACCGTGACAACGTGTACACCCTTGTAGTTACAGATAATAGTATATCGCACGTTGAAATAGTTCATCTCGATTGGGTGTGGGCGTATACACTGTAGGTTCATAACTGTAGGTGTAATTTTTTTGCTGACAGGAAATGTGCAAACACGTTGGTATTGACACGGAAGTTACAGTAAAAATTTTTTTGTGAACGTGTTGCCTGGTTACATGAAATTCATAATCGATGTGATCTTATCCATCCACGATTTGAACCATTATCACCGACGCACCACTTATTATAGAGATAGGCAATGTGAAACCATAGTGTTTATACTCATTCCGATCTAATCATTTTACTGTTAAAAAGTGATTCTTTGACGTACATTTGTTTCACTGTAACATATATCGATTGGTGCATACAATAACACCATGTACACAAATCACG